GTACGTTACATGCACCGAATCTCCCAGTCTTCGATGCAGGCTCTAGCAGAGATGTTACAGCTGCTGGTTTAAAAGTTCTTGTTCCACATCCTAGCATCAGGATGGGTTCACAGGTCTCCCGGGCTCTTCAATCCCTGCACTGCTGCCTCTGGGATGAAGTGCTGAGCTGAGAACAAAATGGAGTCCCCCACATGGCCTCTTTATACCTCCTTCCTGGCCTCTTCTTGGCTGAAGCCGGTCACCTGGCCCTCAGCCTCTCTCTCCTGGCAGCTCTTAGGTCTCTGCCCTCATGCTTTAGGTGTGTCCTTGGCCCATGGAGTGCCATTGTCCCATAGGGCCTCGCTAATTAGCATGTCCATAGGCCAGGCTCTGCCCAATGCTCAACCACATTCAGAGAAATATTCAGCTTCCACACAGATTACAGATTCCTACCTATACACACAGACACTATACACTCACATAAATAGCGTACACAGGATCAGCAAACAGTAAGCTCCCATTCAACACCCCACATGGCCCCCTTTTATATCATTTTTGGGGCCAGCACCCCCACCTATGGGTGTAGCCATGATCTGGCTGCTTCCCTCAAATTCCAGTAACGTGACAGGAGGGGTGCTCAACTCCCCCTCTCCCCGCACTCCACCTCAGGCCCTGACCCTGCCCTGCCTCTACCTTATTTCACACTTTCCTCCACCTTATTTCACATCTTCCTCCACCTCTTCCCTGCCTTCTCCCCTGAGCACGTGCTGCCCCACTCCTCTCCCTCCAGCCCCGAACTTTCGGAACACCACAAATCAGCTGTTCACGGTGCTCCTGAAGTGCTGGGAGGATGGGAAAGGACATGGCCAGCAGGGCCAGGAGTGGGCAAGAAATGCAGGAAGAGGAGCTTAGCACTAGTGGGTGCTCAGCACCTATGACAGGTACTGAAATAATCTGATTCCAAGCCATACAGAATTGGGCCCAGTGCTCACACTTATCATTACCAAAACCACTCTAATCCTTGGGCACAGACCCAACGCCACAGAAAGAGAGCTACTCTCACTGGTCACAGAGAGGCTAAAGGAAGGAGACCACGAAGGAAAAATGCCACGTACAACAACACAGACTTTTAGTTGCTAGTTAGTAGCGCAGTAGCACGTAGGGCCAAGACCAAGATCAGGGCCCAATTAGGTGTGTACATTAGTTGTACCGAGGGGGTCAGACAAAGATCGGGGCTCCTATTATGATGTGTGCATTATTAATATTAGGGAGATACCTAGGAGCCCCAGCCAGGAGCAGGGCCCATGATAATACATTCCTTAGTGGTAGTATTATTGGTTGAGTCCAATCTATTTCAGAGCATGAACTCACCTCTACCTAATGGGGGTCAGAAGGTCAATGGCCCAGAGGGCAGGTTATCCCCTAAATGTATGGCTCCTTGCAGCTTCCTGGGAAGCAGCTAGCATTGGCCAGAGTCAGAGATAGGACTAGAATAGGTTAGGGTTGCTAACCTAGTTTCACTGGGAGTCTCCCAGAATTAGGTAGGTTTGCTGATGCCAAACCAGAAGACTGACCACTAAAAGTCCTAGGGTGCAGCAGGGCTAAGGCAGGTTCCCTGTCTGCCCTGGCCCCATGTCACATCTGGAAGCAGTAGTCATGTCCCACCTTATGGTATCTAGATGGGGGGCAGGGACAGGGCCCAGCAAGTTTCTGCACATTGCCCCATCCCAAGTGACAACTCCACAGCTCCCATTGGCAGGGAACTGTGGCCAATGGGAGCTGGGGCCACAGGGAAGGATGTGGCATGGGGCCAGGGAAAGCAGGGAACTTGCCTTAGCCCCATTCTGCTGTCAACCAGCACTCGGAGCTGCCAGAGATAAGAACTGCCCAGCCAGAATCTATACCCCAACCCTCTACCAGTCCTGAGTCCCTCTCCCAGAGCCCAGACCTCACACCTATACAGCTCTGCCAGGCCTCTGCACACTACAGCAGCCCCAGCCCCAGCATGGGGGCCAGGAGCTTGTAGCCAGCCCCAGCACAGGACTGGGAGTGGGAGCGGGCTGAAGCAGTTAAACCTAACCCCAATCCTTTTACCCAGGCTCACACACACACCAACACCTCAGGCCCAGCCCAGAGCCCACTTTCCCCAAACCCCGCCTCATCCTGGTGAAAGTGAGCGAGGATGGGGGAGAGTGAGCTACAGAGGTAGGGGGGATAGAGTGAGTGAGGGCAGGGCCTCTGATAAGGAGTGAGGCAAGGGCTTTGTTTGGTTTGTGTGATTAGACAATTGGCAGCCCTTGGCTGTTAGCCCTACAGGTCTGTACCTCCTTGCAACACATCCAGCACCAGCTAAAGTGCAAATTTAGGAGTGCTATGTCTAGAAGTTTCTCCAAGAAAAATTAACTAGAGCTAGTTGGGAACCAGAATCCCTCTTTGCAGGAAGATACTGATGTTTCATTTTGAATTTAAAAGCAGAATTTTGGAAGTTTCCTGAGAAACAAAGATTCCAAAACATTTTGAGTCATTTTGTTTCAATATGGTAAAACTGGGTCATTTCAACAATGACAAATGTTTCACTGAAACTTTTATACAACTGTAATATTAACTTCACTATTGGTTATAGTTCTATACAGGCAGTCCCCGGGTTACGTACAAGATAGGGACTGTAGGTTTGTTCTTAAGTTGAATCTGTATGTAAATCGGAACTGGCATCCAGATTCAGCCGCTGCTGAATCTGGACGCCAGTTCCGACTTACATACAGATTCAACTTAAGAACCCCAGGCGTCCTGATCAGCAGCTGATTCCAGGAAGCCCGGGGCAGAGCAACTCTGCCTCGGGCTTCCTGCAGTCAGCCACTGGTCAGTTTCAGCCGCGTCT